TAATAAGCAGTAGCAGTTTCCACACGTGCAGCAAATAAGCATAACTGTGTTTACTCATTGTTTGGCCTTCATAATTTTTTTGAAGCAGAGAATAAAATGATTCTTGTCCTTATCATCACTCTTTTCATCATCAAATGCAACAGTATTTGTCTTAATGTATCCAGCTCTAAACTATTGGTAGCATTTGAAAAACTAATATTTGCAATGACTCACTGCTGTATTTGATGGTCTAGAAAACATTTTTTAACAAAATCGATACTATGGCACGGCAATATTTTTCCCTAATATTCCCTGCTTACATTTAAAAGCAAAAATTTTTTGTCTGAATTTCGGTTTATTAAAAGTTCCCGGCTTTTACTGAAGAATATAACTAGTCCCATTTTATATATCTCTATACATAATATATAGATATGACTTATATATTACATATGAGTAAAAGTTATATATCTAGGGAAAGTTTCTTTTCAAAGGTACAAATGGAATTTGGGATCCCAAGTATCATTCACGTTAATAGGATTTAGTACTCTTCAGAATCTTACATTTGTCTACGCCTGTTCATGACGAATGTGCGCACACACAAACACGCATGCACACACAAACAAAAGAACGTAGGGTAAAGTATATTAACTCTTTGTAGCAGATGCTAATTCTAATGGATTTATTTGAATAACCTTATTGTGTATTTTTGGATGAATAAATAGAGGGCATCTCAAATGCAAACTTGTAATTACTTCTGCTTGCTTTCCCTTAGAGTTTATACCGGTCTGACATGAACTTTATGCGAGGAGTTGGATGTATTACTCCAGGGGCCCTAGAGATTGAAGAAAAGAAGAAAGCTTCTAACCTCATTAGCGAGGTAACAAAAGAGGGTTTTGATTTCTCCACTGCAAACAAGAGTTTGCCAGATGTCTTTCTATTAAACTGGGCTGGCAAAGTGACTTGCTGGATAACTCTAAGCTCCCTCCCCTTCCATTTGATCACTCCATTCATGTCCTAGCTGCAGATGGGTGAAACTGATGGAGTTCAAGATTTTCCTTTACTAACTGTTTTTATAAATCTTTTATCCCATGTTTCAGACCCAGATGGTTGTTATTTTATGTAATTTATTTTAGATCTTAAAATGTGCTTTTTCGACTAAAAATAAGTGCATGCGCTCTATTAGGCATCTTGTGTTATTTCTCCAAAATTAAACGGACTTGCCAGAGTGCCCAGTGCCAGAGTGCCCATTATACTAATCTCAACTCTCCTTCTGCTTTGCAATCTTAGTCTGTTTTTCACTTGCTGCCTTTGCATCCTGTTCCCCTTTTGTTTCCCTATTACCCTTTGTAATCAGATTGTTCTTCCCTCTGTTGTGTTCTCTCCTTATACTCTCTGCTAGTTTCAAATCGTGGATCTACTGCATGTGAAAATTGCATTCCAGTGAATAGATCCCTGCTTGCAGTGAGCTCGCAGTTATTTTATTCACAGTTCTGACTTAGCACCACTGACCAAGTGGAATCACGTCCTTCCCACAAAAAAGTTCAGCAGGCTTGTGCAGCATCTTCTGTCTGGATTGCACTGCCTTTCCTCTAATTTCATTACCCAGTTTTAGTGACATGAAGAGGTGAAGTAACCTCATTGCTGTATTCAGCAAATCTGCACGTTTTTCTTTAAGTACAGAGAATTCCTTATTTGCTCTTAATTTCCACTAATGAGACAAGCATGCACCAGAGAAGCAAAAGGTAAATTAGTCTAATGATTAATAGATAGGTATCCTTTGCAAAGTAGTGTTTTAAGCACAGGAAGCAATGCTAGAGTGCTAATGTTAGAAAAAAGTCCCTTATCTGACAACACAATTTAGTGATTCTGTTCGTTTTTCTTTCTGCGTGAACTCAGAGTAAATATCGTCAGCAGCCACATTCCTTCAAGTACACATCGGTGACAGACTCTCCTGGCCTCCTTCATGCAAAATTCAGCAATATGATTGCTAATGAGGTAGGCTCTTCTAATGTGAATTGGAAAATATGCTTTTCAAAATGCAGCGAGCCGGGGTTGGCAGAGAGGGAGACAGCCTTGTTCTGAAAAACAGAATGTATCAAAAAGAAAGAAAACATCACTGATTTCTGCTTTTACAGAGTTAGAACACAAACAGTTTATTCCTGGACAAACATTTAGTGCCATTTTTCAGTTCAATCTCTTTATGCCAAATAGTGCACATACAGAATCCTGTTATTAAGCTTTTTTTTCTATGTGAAACAAAGCCTCAGAACATCATTCTGGTGGATGTTCTTGAGGGGATGCACTTGAATAGTGTGGCCTCTTTAGAGGCCTCCTGAAAAAGAATCCCTTTTCTAATTTTTGAAAACAAGACAAAACCTATCAGCAAATTATCAAAAGCCTCTACAATAATATGAGGAAGAATGAAAGTTAGAAAATAGGGCCAGTCTACTGGAAGTATCTACCCTTTTATTTAATACATATTCATAATGCTCTTAATGTTCTTAGGCCTTTTGGCCTGCTGGGAACATACCAATGTAAGGCGAAGAGTATAGTGGGTTGACATCTTGATATGTATGAAACAATTAATTTAGAAGCTTTGTAATACCAGGAAAAAAACCCCACACAATTGCAGTTGTGTTGATATATTCTTAGCTGTTTTTGTGCTGGCTGATAATGATTGTCATAATCATAAACAACTTAAGTACTTTTGTTATATTTTTGAAACATTAGAGAAAATGAATTGCAATTGTCTTTTTTGATCTATTCTAGCGTCTGTATAAAGCAGCAGGAGAGGACAGTCAGCATTGCTATACACCAACACTGGGTCTGCCTGAGTTTACACGGGCAAGAATAAATGCAGCCAACCTCAGTGATGTAAGAGTTTGTTATATTTCTTATATTTCCTTGGACTGGAGGATGAATTGCACAGTGGCAAGGAATGATGGATAAGTCGAGGAATTTTTAGATCTATTGTATTTATGCTTTCCCTGATTTGATTACAATGATATCTATCTCCATTAACATGTATGCAGTTGTGAGTAAATTAAATCTACGTAAGGAATGAGACATATGTTTTGTCTGAGTCTGTATCATTTCATAAAGATAATTTTAAAAAAAATCCTTTGAATGTGAAGAGTGAGAGTCTAATAACTCAGACTAACAAATGAAAGAGGCTGACTTTGTTTGTTCCTTCGAGCATTTAAAAGTGAAATGGCAATCTACTTGTGCCTTTCCTACTTTAGGTGAAATACAGGGAATCTTGGCATAATCTACGTGCTCAAGGCTACAAGCTGACAACGGAAGCACTGCCTTTCCAGACTGCCAAGGCCTCCAGAGAAATTGCTAGTGATGTGAGTTGAATGATTCAACCTTCCATCTTGCCTAATTTCTGTTAACTTCATGTAAAACAATGTCTAAAGCAGATTGTACTGAATTAAAGCAACTCCATAACCATGTGAGACAAGTGTGAGACAGAATGTATTACTTATGAATGAGATTCTTTGTGTGAATTTGAAAAAAAAATCACTGCTAATCGGGAACCAAGCTTGGTTAAACATCTTCCAGTGGGAAATAGCTAGTGAATTAAAGTATTTATAGACAGCCAAATCAAAGAGATTCTCCAAGCTCTCCAGGCTTTCAGCTGCTCGTATTGTAAAGCGCCCACTAATTCTGTCCACCAGCTTTGAGCTGGCTTTTGGAAGTGCTTAGTGCCCCTGAGTTGAAATGAAGTCACAAGAAGCTGAGTGTTCTTTGAATCTCTGAAAATCAAGAGCTGCCCGTCTGGTTAGGATGTGAAAATTAGTGGATGCTCCTGTCCCCTTAATTTCTGAAGGAAGGAACACAAATTTTCTTGCCCTTAAAAATATTTTCTCCCTTGGATTATTATTTGCAGAACGCTCAGACATGGTGGTATCTGTTTTTTCAGAAAGTGTAATTTCATCTTTTCCCTGCAAGAAGTTTCAGAAATAAATTATAAGAAACACCTACAGTTAAACTAAAATTAAGTTAAAAAAACCTCTTAACTTTGTGTAGCCTTTAGTTATATATTTTTTCTCTAATGTGATAAAATATGAATATATTTAATATATATTTGTTTTATGAAGCAACTATATCTAGTTGTAATTTACAATGTATACTTAACTATATTTTGCACAGTGCTTTTGTTTATAGCTTCAGATCTGCTCGGAAGGGTACAAGTCCATAATAGAATTACATCCACTTACAACAGATCTGAATTTGGCCCTTCATCTTTGAAGCACTTTATAAACATTAGCTAGTGTAATTTAATCCTCACAACTCTCTTGTGTGGTAGATAAGTGTTATTATCCCATTTCAACTACATTATGAACTCTTCAGGGCCCGGGCTTTCTCTTTAAAGTTCCAAACACCCTGTTGATGCTGTATAAATAATCATTATCATCATCATCACCATTTCACAGAGAGGATAAATGCAAGATCATAGGGAGAGTCATAGTTCCAGCTAAGATGAGAATGAGGAGTTGCTGGTGCTTATTCTTGTGCTCAGACCACCATCTTAGGCTTCTCAACATAGTTATTGATCCAGGAGAGCTGAATTTACTCTTTCAAATAGCTAGGTGGCATTTGCAAATCTGAAGGCTACGGAGTGCATGGTGTTTCTCTTGTATAGATTTTTTTGTCTTTCTCTTGTTTGGTTCTTTTATGTTCTTATTCCTCCTAATGGAAATATAATTCTATAGGAGATAAAATAAAAATGCATGATCTGAGGTTAAACGTGATCTGTGCTTTGGGCATATTCAGAGCATGTGCTGAGCTGTGCTCAACTTAAATGTTGCAACTACAGTGGTATCTAAATTTGAGAGCAATGAGAGATTCAAACGATTACTTTCTAGTGCTGTATAGCCTGGCTGTTTTTTGCAGGCACCATAGGCGTTTCAAAGACTTATCCTAAGTTAATTAGCTAGAGTAACCAGTCTAACTTTGACCTTTTGTCTCTGTTACCTTTTTTGGTTTTTAGTACCAATATAAATACAACTTCGTGATGGAGAGAGGAAAGCACGTTGGTGCCAGAAGTGTTTTGGATGATACCAGGTTGCTGCATTGCTTGCATGCTGCTAAATTACAGAGTGAACAGGAGTATAAGAAAGGATCCCAAGGAGCGTGGTCTCAATGCCATCTGCCCATGGACATGGTGAATCTTGTTCATGCTAGGAAAGCCCAGGCCTTAGTGAGTGATCAGGATTACAGAAAGAGAATCCATGAGTTTACAGCAGTCCCAGAAGACATGAAGATGAAATGGGCCAAAAGAGCCCATATGCTGCAGAGTGAGGTAAAGACTGACTTTCTGTTAACTGCAAATTGAGTTTAGCAGTAAAAAAACCTTGTATGACTGGCATAAATGGTATATTGACATGGGGCGATGTTTTCAGAAAGAGAACTTGTAAATTTAAGTATGCATAGCAGCAGGATGTCTGATTGCTGCACACATGTGGAACCTATGTGAGTCAGAGAGAGGTTCTCATGTTATGAGTCTGATGGGAAAATATGAGCCTGTGGTCCATATTTACTTGTTCTAGAGCTGGAGAATATACAAAATCATCTCTCAGTTGGTTAGATCACAGGTTAAATGTTCAGAGGCTAGTTTGAGATGTCATGTTACAAGGTCATTTTACAAACAGAGCTGGTAATATCAAACAACCAGTTCCCCAGAAGTATTAACAAAAATTACTCATGCAAATGCAGATTCAGACAAACTTTGATCACCAAAATGATGGAATCAACATGGGCAACATCCGTGTTAGCTTTGTATGTTTCCATGTTCACGTGTACATTTGTTCAGGGGGACAAGCCGTTGTCCATATCTACTTCCAAACAGATGCAGATATTGAGTGCATGTGTAAAGTTGCCTGTACGCAGGTAGTTGTATTTTGACAGTTTAGGGTCTAGTGTCATCTTTCGTTAGACGCTCTGTAGCAGGAAGCTCTGTTTGGCTGTTTTTTGTTGTATAAGAAAAGAAACTGAATGATTCAGCAAGGAAGTGAAAAAGGTTGCTCCAAAAGTTGTACTGATTTTTTTTTTTTATATGTCTTCAGGGAACTGATTGTTTACTGAGCTCAAGATTTTATCAAGAGACAAAGTGATGGGATATTTGATGAGAAAATATTCCATCTATGAAAGTCAGAGAGGCAATCAAAGCAATGCAGAGTCCATGCCCCTCTTAGTACTTAGTGTACTTGCTGTCTACTATCCTGAATGCGTTTTTCATTGCCGGAAAGGGCACCTTAAAAGAACCCACTGTGATTTATGTCTTAAAATGAAAGCAAATGATCCAACTGAAGAATCCCTGTTGGATTTTGTTATTATGATACACAATTGTTTTTATTCCCTGTCAGATGGAAAGAAAAAGGTGTTACCCCGGGAAACTGAGGTATCCAAATGTAGGACAACAGAAATAAGGGAGCAAGTTCTGTGGGGCTTAGGAATCAGTAAGGGAATCTCCATTCCAGTTTCACAACAGACCTTAGAGAATGTATTCAGTGGGGACAGCAGACTTTATCAACTACATTTTAGTTGCTCTTTCACCACTGGAAGTTTAGTTATCAAGTCCTCAAAAATATTTCATAGCAGTCCATTGTAGATGTATGTGTGTATATATACATGCATGTATCCATGCACGCACACACATACGAATATATGTATGTATAATAAAAGAAGTACATGCGTGTAAAGCCACTCCCGGAGGAAAATTTTCTAATCTTACTTCTCAGGCTGTCTAGCAATTCCTTATGTACCCTCTCTGTGAAGTCACGGAAATCTCAGTTTATGCTTTCCTCTTCCACATTGATCATTCCTGTCACCCTGCCTTGCAGATCAGCACTGCTTGGTTCATTAAACCTTTTGCTTCCCAGTACATTGTTCAGCAGAGCTCTCCAGATGCCTCCTTTTGCCTAATGACTAGTCCTCACAGTATGCTGTTGGGATGGAATAGAAACTGTTGCTGGATGCAGTTCTTTGTCATTCCAACTCCCATTCCTATCTTCTGCTGTAATGGGTAACAGATGGCATATAAGTTACTTAGATCTAGATTTTTAGCCTTTAC